GCGGTTAATTGACGCCTTGTCAATGTTTACCGATCTCATTGCCGTCTTATTACCCGATCTCTACCGAATTATTATTTCCGATACTTACTGCCCTTATCCAAATTTGGATTCAAATTTGTCAATTATTTATCGACCGCCAACTACCACGTTAGGTAACTGGTCGTTTCACCCGATAGAGTCCCTTCGCCCGGACTGAAAGTTCAAAGGATGTGTTAATTCTTTTTTTCACTAAACGAGCAAAATTACTCAAAACACACCAATTTCTCGTTCTTTAATCCACTGAGCATGGAGCTAACAGTCCAGTATCACAAGAATTTGTTTATGGGACGGCGTTATAGACGGTCGACTTTCGCGTTCAAGTCTGCAAAAACAAACAAATACATACAAATTAATTTATGGAAAATGAATAAACAACAAGGGAACGTTCATGAGCCAAAAACTTACTCATTTTTAAGAAGTTGAATTTAATGGTAATGGGGACAATGTTCAGCCACTTAGAACTAGTTACATCAAGAATATTATTATGTCTACTGAAAGAGTTAGTGAGTATTACAAATCTACTTACTACTACTTGTCTTAATCTCTACTATAGCCACTCATAACTGTTGAAATCAAACAAATATCTACTGAAAAAGCCAGCAAGTATTGGAAATCTACTAATGACTTGTCTTTTGTATTTCTACAGCCGCTTTTAAACATCGAAAGCAAGTGCATGAAATATAATCAATTGAAAACGCTAGCAATATTAATGGAGTTCGGTTCCTACTGACTTGCATTTTTCTTTAGCCTTTTAACTACAGTCCTCCTCTTGCCCCTACCCTTACAATTAATTTTTGTACGAACATTGTCCCACTGTCCTGCAAACGAAGGCGAGTCAAACTTTTGGCGAAGCTTCGAACACAGGAAGCTCAGTTTATGTTCGTCGAGTTTGGCGTAACCAAATGTGCCACCCGTGTTTCCATTGGCCAATTCATTTTCCGTGAATAGAACATCGACGCACACCAGTGCAGTGGTCGACATCTCCTTTCCCATGAGTAGGATTGCTTCTACTCGGCGACGCTGCTCATCTGTGGGG